CCGAGCTGTAGACGGCGATGCTGGCCAGCGGGAAAGCCATGCCCTTGAAGAAGCCGGCCAGCTGGCAGCGGAGCAGAGCGAGGGTTAGAGGAGGGAATCGGGGAGGAAACTGCTTTTTTTGGGGGGGGGTTGGCTGATGGGCTGCGGCGCGCCCCGCCGTCCCTGCGCATCTGCCTTCACCCGCTTTCCCAAGGAATTAGGAACTGGCTTTTATGCCACGCGAGCTATCGGCCACCGGCTCTGTCTCTCCTTCCCCGCTTTGACATGTCGATTACTTTGCTGCCCTCCCAGAGCTGACTGGCTGCCAACTGCAGCATCCCAGCGAAAGTCCCGGGAACGCTGCCTGCGGAGGAGAGGCGAGCAGCACCGAGCGACGTAAAACCCGGCTTGTCTATCCGGCCAGCAACGCGGACCTGCGCGGCGCGTGTTTCTGGGAGCCAGCCCTTTGCGCATGCTGAGCAAATGAAAATTAATGCATGCTTTTCACGACTTGTAAAGATCACGCAGAATAGAGGAACTTTTCCAAAGCACCAGAAAACATCTAAGAGGCCCTCTTCTGCCTTCCTGGAATCACCAGGGTCAGCAAAACGCCTCCGCTAAGGAGCTTGGCCAGCAGGTATTTTAGAAAGAGCCTGCAGCCTGCTGACCAGTAACAGATGGCTAGAGAAAAGTATAAGATGAGGAAAAGCATTTCTCTGGCCTCCTGAGCTAGCGGTGGTACTTCTGAGTTTCCTAGCTCTTGATGGATTTTTTTTTTCCCCATAAATTTCTCTGAATGACCATGTAAACTTTCAGCATCCGTGACATGCTGAGCCAAGGTGGTTATAACACCCTGACTCAAGGGGACACGGCCAGGGGCATTTACCGCTCCAGGCCAAGGATCTGTCCTTCTTCTGTGTCCTTGTTCTAGGTTAGCAACAGAAAAAGCTGTGGGTATTTGCCATCTCTCCTCCCTCATTGGGCTTTGGATGCCATTGCACCAACTGTGCTGCTCTTTGTGCAACTCCCGATGCCAACAGTGATTTGGTATAATTTCTATGTATATTTATTTTCATTTTTTACCAGCATATTTTAAGTACAATACTCACAGATTCATTTCTGTATACAGTGAGAACACAGTTTAGTGTATTTCCATATCCTTGTCCAGCTTGCAAACGAGTCTGTAAAATACATTGATGAAATGCAATTAAAATCACATGCTTCCAGCCCCGGGAAAGCTCATGCTATGTACATAAACAACACGTACTTTGCTTTGACAGTGAATCCTTGCTCAATTCTGAAGAAAACAGAGCAATAAGACATATATGGATCCGCCCCATTTGAACTTTGCCAGAAGCTGGCCTAAGCAGAGCCTGGGGAGCCCAAAGCCTCCAGCAACATCTGGACTCGACAGCTGGCAAACTGGTGCGAATCCCCACACGCCTCCCTGGCCCCATGCAACGCTTATAGGGAGCGCAGAGTCTCAGTAAAGTTAGTCAAAAGATGTGAAAAATCAGACACAATAACAGGGATAAAATTCAGAACAACAACAACAAAAAAAACTCTTCTGATCCTAGCAGGATTTTAAGGCATATAAATACCAAAGAGAGCCAAAACATTCAGGCTACACCTCAGTAATATTCCACCTCTCACGCAAAAATACAGTTTTACAACATTTCAAACAAAGAAAATGTCTTTCTGGAAAGCAGCGTTCACACGCCTCCTAAAAATACCTACAGCAGCTATGAGAAAAGCCCTGTAAAACACAACAAAGCCTGTATTAGCCCACACACCTTCCCCTTCGCACCCACACATACACGTGCATACATCCTCCATCATTCAAGCTGCTTACAAATTTACAATTAAAAAAAAAAAATCCTCACAAGTAGCCCATGGGTTGTGTGAACCTAAGGAGGGATGAGGAAATCCAAGCCCAGGAAGGGGGCGGTCGCTCCCGGCACCGGCGCTGCCCCGCTGCCGCTCAGCCGCGAGGGCCCCTCCTGCCCTCTGCACCAGCTGCTGCTTCTTTCATCCTTCCCCCAAAACCGGGGCCGGGCCAGCCTGGGCCG